TGTGTGTGTGTGTGTGTGTGTGTGTGTGTGTGTGTGTGTGTGTGTGTGAGAATCTTCTGTTTATGGTGTATGAGCACTAAACAAACCAAAGAGCTGCAGGAACATTGAGAGCGTTTCATTATAAATCCGCTCCACTGCAGCGATCACTTACATAACTAGACAAACGTGTGTGTTAGTCAGCTGGGGTTTAAGTGCTTGTTTCCTGTGATTGGTCAGTTTACTCGCTGAAGGAAGTAAAGTGCATTGAGCTGCTGTGTGTGTCATCATCATGTTTGCTAATGGAGCTGATCTGATATTAAACATGATCTGCTCATGAATTGCACAAGTGAACAGAGAACGTTCTGGCAAAGTTGTACAAACGTTCTTCCAGTAACGTTAATAGAACATTCATTCTGAGTTGTCTGGTCTTTAATAACGTTCTCAAAGCGTTCGCACAAAAACATTATTTATACCCTAACTTTTGACCGATTTTAGTTAGACGTTCATCTGAGATAGTTCAGAGAATATTCAAAAGTAACATTCCCATAATGTTTGTAAAACAATCAAATGTAACATTGTTTTTAACAAACACATTTTTGAACGGTTAACATTCTGAGCGTTTTGAACATTCAGAAATAATGTTTTAATGAGAACTTTAGCAAAGCATTCTCAGAACATATTTTTGTCAGCTGGGACTGCAGTATGAACATAACCAGCAGCATCTCAGAATATTAAAATAAATAAATGTCAAAGGCAAAGTTTATTTATAAAGCACTTTTTAAAAACAGCAAGTGTTTATCAAAGTGCTGTGCACACATAAAAGAATAAAAATATCAATGATACAAACGAAGGCATTCAAAGAATTAAAAGAATCATCATCACACAGTTTGTGACTAAAACCAGACAGTACATCCTTAAACAATTATGAAATATCAACATGCAAGTGTTTACAGAAAACTTTAATGCAGCGCTGGCACGCGGGTGGGCGAAGCCGCGCTGATGTCACCGGAACGGGGCGGGGCCGCGGAGGTGACGTCAGCGCGGGGCGCGGCGAAGCTTGTGCGAGGAAACTTTCTCTCGAGTGTGTGTGTGTGTGTGTGTGTGTGTGTGTGAGTGTGTGTGTTCGCGGAGGATCCTCCAGATGGTTGGTTTCTCCTCTTAAGGAGTTTCTCGTGATGGATCCGATCGGCAGGTGAGAATATTGATCACTATCGGTCGCGCGTTTATGCCACCAGATTATCATGTCCTTGTTATTTGTCGTATTATTCTGTAAATATCATGTTTTTAAAGCGAATCATACAAACCGCATACAGTTCAGCTCAATAATGTGTCAAAAAGTGTATAAATATGTATATAAAAGTTTAGAGGATTATGGAGTGTTTTATCACTGAATGAACATGTTTTAACCTTGAGTCCTGACTGTCAAGGTTTATTTAGTTTATTTCGGTTGTAAATGATGAGATAAAAATCTAAATTCCTACAATCACATGTTTATATTTTATTATGGTTTCATATGCATTTTGTGAAATCTGACAAATCCTCAGATGTTTAATTTTAGTTTCATGTCAGATTTTACCAAAAAAAAAAAAAAAACTAAATTACTACAATTGCAGTTTTATGTTTCATTTTGGTTTCTTATGAATTCACATAATTCTTGAAGTCGAGAGTGTTTTTAATGGAGTTGACCCTGTGTTTGTGTTTTGTTCCAGAGGCGTGTGAGCGTTCATGCGTGTGCGTGTTAGTCGTGTTGATGGCTTCCGTTATCGTCGCTCTGCTGTTGTTCGTCACTCAATCCCCTTCGCTCGCCACCGCTGACCCCCCCGCCAACGCCTCGCGCCGCCTGCCCGACATCATCATCATCGGCGTGAGGAAGGGCGGCACGCGCGCTCTCATCGAGATGCTGAGTCTCCACTCGGACATCGTCGCGGCTCAGAGCGAGGTGCACTTCTTCGACTGGGACAGTCACTACCGGCGCGGCGCGGATTGGTACGTGTCCCAGATGCCGCTCGCTCGCTCGGGTCAACTGACGGTGGAGAAAACCCCGGCGTACTTCACCTCCGCCCGCGTTCCTGAGCGCATCCGACGAATGAATCCTGACGCGCGGCTGCTGCTGATCGTCCGCGAGCCGACCGAGCGACTGCTGTCCGATTACACGCAGGTCTTCCACAACCGTCTGGAGAAACGCAAGCGGCAGCAGTCGCTCGAGACGCTGCTGATGCGCGACGGAGAGCTCAACCTGGACTACAAGGCCTTGAACCGCAGTCTGTATCACGTCCACATGCGGCGCTGGCTCGACATGTTTCCCAGGAGCCGCGTTCATCTGGTGGACGGAGCGGCCCTGATTAGAAACCCTCTTCCGGAGATGAAGAAGGTGGAGGAGTTCCTGCATCTGGAGCCGCAGATAAACGCCTCCAACTTCTACTTCAACCAGACCAAGGGCTTCTTCTGTCTGCGCGACCGCCGGCGCGAGCGATGCCTGCACGGCTCTAAAGGTCGCAAGCATCCGCACGTGGCGCCCGCAATCCTGTGCAAACTCCACCGCTTCTTTCACGAACCCAACCGGGAGTTCTTCCAGCTGGTCGGAAGAACGTTCGACTGGAAGTGAGAAGCGTGTGAACGAGTCAAATAAGCTGAAAACACAGAAGGAATTGCTCCTGAACCAACTGGAACATCTCGAATGCCGTAACATGAAACAACCCGTAATGTGATGAGTCTTTTTTCAGAGGTGGAGTGAGCTTTTCTTATGATTAAGAGATTATGTAGTTTGTGTAGATAGATAGATAAAATCAGACTGAAGATAGATAGATAGATAGAATCAGACTGAAGATAGATAGATAGATAGATAAAATCATTATTATAGTTTCGCTTTTGACGAATCGTTCACAGTAAGATCAGGATTAGTGGTCGACCGATATATCGGCCGATATTTGGCATTTTTCAAATATCGGCATCGGCCGATAAGTTTTTCTGGTTGGCCGATGTGTTCGAGGCGGGACCTCTATTTTGACGGCGTGGCTGACTTTTATTTTGTAGCGAACAAGAGGGAGAATGTGAGCAGTGTCGTCGTTCAGTTCTGTGTAATACGAATAGAAGTCTGTCTAATAATCAGATAGAATTGTTAAACAAAGGAATTAAAATGTATACAAAAAGTATTATAACGATTGATTTTATATTATTAGTAATAGAAAGGCAAACATTATAATACTTTCTCGTTTGCCGTCAGCATTCAGCAAATACGCATTTATATCATTTAAACAAATCTTTGAATGACTAATGAACATTTAATTTCACAAAGCTTGCAAACTTAGTCGGATCCAGAGGAGGAGAGTTCAGCTTGACTGGAGACCATCCAATCCATTTTCAAATTATTTAAAATTTCTTAAATATAAATGAAAATAAATCAAATTATATCGGCTTTTTATCGGCCATCGGCATCGGCTGTCAAAAAACCCGTATCGGTCGACCACTAATCAGGATGTGAATGGAGTTCGTTTTCAGAGCTGTTAGCAAACCTTATATTCACATATACAGACATATGCATGTGAAATACTTCTGTTTATACGTTAATGCGTGACAGTAATCATCCAAATACTGTTTTCCTGCTGCTAAGTTTATGAATGTGTGTGTGTTTCTCTTTATATCAGTCTGTGTTACAGAAAAGTTCCTCCTTAATTTCATGATTTAGTCTATGTATTCTGATTATTAAATGTTTTATATGAAGGAATCATTCAGTAATAAAGTTATTTTTGCTATGATCTGGTGTTCTGTGGGTTTCTGTCACTCTTTTGCTGACTCTGTGTGTGTGTGTGTGTGAGAGAGAGAGTGTGTGTGTGTGTGTGTGTTTGTACCAGTATTGTTTTATAATTGAGACATTATTATAGTTTTTATATTTTGAATTGGTGTTTAATTTTATATTTTATATTTGTTAATTTTAGTTAAATTTAACTAATTTTGTTGTGTGTTCTTTTTTAAAAAATATGTATATATGCTTTTAATTAATGTTATTTTAGTTATTTTTAGTGCATCGAATTAAACAAAATGAAAGTGAGCAATGTTGCCTTGGAAACTTGCTGAAATAAGTTTAAGTTTTTTATTGTTATTTTATTTTAGTTAATTTTTAGTTTTTTGTAAGTAATGAAAAGGTTTTTTATGGTTTCCGTCTTAATCTAGGTAACTAATAATACTGGTTTGTATCCAAAATTAGCAAAACCTTTTGGGAATGTCCTCAGTTGTTAAAAAAAAATAGGATATACAAACAGTAATTGTAATTAGCTGTATATAAAAACCATTGCAGGCTATGCAGTGTCCCCATTTAGAGAGCTAAATAAACACGTGTGTGTGTGTGTGTGTGTGTGTGTGTTAGTCTAGAAATTCTGATCATATTTGTGTGATGAGACTGAAGCTTGGAGAATTTCCCGGTGTTTGACTTTAGTTTTCGGGGTCATCTGTAATGTTTAATTAGTTATAGGAGCGTAACATGTCATTCTCTGAACTGTTATTGTGTAACGTGAGCAAAAGTGTAACGAGAACATGTTATCTGTGTGTGTGTGTGTGTGTGTGTGTGTGTGAAAAAGTCTGTGTGTGTGTGTGTGTGAACTCTGCTCATGAATACATTGTTTCGCTGTTGCAGTGAACTCGGTTTAATTCAGTGTTTTATTGGCAGAACTCGACAGTTTCCAGAGGAACATCAGAAGATCTGTACAGTTGATTCTGTGTGTTCTTGGTTTTCTCCTCCTATTTCTCGTCAGTCATTGTGCAACTCAAAGAGTTCTTCATTAAAATCATCTGCCTGCAGTGTTTGAGTCTGATCTCAGAGGTTGTTTCGTGGTGTTTTATATTTTGTGTGTGTGTGTGTGTGTGTTTCCAGCGATCAGTCCAGATGAATCAGATCTGCATGTTTACATGATTCACTGTCCATAAGCTCAAAACTCACAGCTGAAATGTGCTAGTTACCACTCTCTCTCTCTGTGTGTGTGTGTGTGAGAGAGAGAGAGAGAGAGAGAGAGCGTGTGTGGGTATGAATGAGAGAGAAGGAGCAAGAAAGAGAGAGAGAGAGA